GACATTACCAAAATATTTAAATTCTCTTAACTTAATAAAATTAGATCTTTCTGATAATCAAATAGAAGGTGATATTCATCTTTCATTATTATCATCTCTACAAACACTTAAAATAAATTCTAATTATATTAATAGTGTTAGATTACCCTCTTCTTTAGAAAACATTAATATTTCTCAAAATAAAATTAGTTCATTTGAGTATGAAAACAATAACTTAAGAAGGTTAACATGTGATAGTATTAATAAAATAACTGTTTCATCTCCAAACCTTATTGAACTCTCTTGTTCAACAACCAATTTAATTATTAAACAACAACATCTTACAAAATTAATAATTATGAATTCTCTTCATTGTGAACAATTTAATTTTTATCAATTTAAATACCTTTCTTCATTAACACTTTCTTGTTGTGAATTATATTCTGTTCCTCAATGTATTGAAAAGATGAACTTAATTTGCCTGGATATTAGTTGTAATTTGATTTCTTTATTTCCAAAAAACCTACCCATAACATTAACCAGTCTTAATTTAAACTACAACCAAATATCATCAATTCCAATTCAATATATTGGCCAATTAAAAGAATTATTTATTACAGGAAATTTGATAACTTTATCAACAATTGAATTACTTTCAAATAGTTTATACATTCCTTATTTTAAACCTGAAAAACTTATTGAAATAGAAGATGGAATTTATGTCGGTAATAAACATCATTCACAAAATAAATCTATTCTTGATAAATTTAATATTAAAAGTATTATTACAGTTGCTGAAATATTACCGTCTTATCCTTCTTTCTTTAATTATAAAGTTATTAAAGTCCCTGATTTACCTACAACAAATTTATATATACATTTTAATGAATGTTATAATTTTATTGAATCTAATAAAAATAAAGGATCTATTTTAATACATTGTGTTGCTGGAAGAAGTAGAAGTGGAACTATTGCAATTTCATATTTTATGAAGAAAAAACATTTGTCACTTGATAAAACAATGACGTTCGTTCGAAATAAAAATCCAAAAATTGAACCAAATAGTGGATTTATGGAACAACTTCGAAGATATGAAATAGAAATTAATTTAAATAAACAAACCAATAAAATGCTTTTGTCTTCATCAAAACATAACCAGAAGTGTTGTATAAATTAGAATTGAGAGTAATGGTATTGGTTTCATTAGCTTTAAATTAAAAAATAAAAAAGAGAAAAAAAGAAAAAAATCTTAAAAAATAAATTTTATGTCAAGTCAAAGAAAAGAACCACTTTCTGAAGATAAATTAAATAATTATGGTATGTCATCATTTTCAAATGTAAGTCCTTCTCATTTAATTAATAAGATACCACAAAACCCATTCTCTGATCCTGAAACAACTACTTTGTATCATTCATACGATAATTATCATCCCTTTAATCATCAAGACTCACTGTTTCCACATTACCCTTTTAGTTATGATCAATCTGGATATCAACCAACTTATGACTCTTTTGATTATTCACAGTCTAAAGAAATTCATCCATTATCTATTTCTGAAACACAACAAAGTAATGTAGTAAATTCAAATCTTCCTAATTCAGTTAGTCCGGTTCAAACGAATGAACATTTAGGAAAACAAAGAGAAAAGACTTTAACTCACAAAGACGATGAAATTAGTATAACATCGAAAATTCTTAAACCAACTACTATGACGGAACTACCAAACTTATTTAAAAGAAAAAATGAGTTGTCTAAAAGAAAAAAACAATACAAAACTAAAGACAGTTCAAAGTCTTATAACATCGTACCATTATCAATGCAAATTAAACCTAGAAACACTCTTGAACAACCAGTAATTTTAACAGAAGAACATCAAATTTCTAAGTCTGAATCATTTCCACTGATTCAAGAAGAAAATATTTCTTTAAATTTTGACGATACTTTAACTAAACCATTGGCTTCAAAGAGTTCTACAAAACTAGAAACCTCTTCTATTAATCATAACCATATTTTTGGCTTCTCTCGTATTACCTCATCTCAATCAATACCTTTACAACCTCTTGTTTGTTCTTCATATCCATTAAATAATACTACTTCATGTAATTTTAATCCATTAAATCAACAAGTAAATTCATCTGGTGTTATTGAACCTGCAAAAATAGTTGTTTCTTCTGAATCATCTATTGACCCACAAATAGATAAATCTAATAATATTCAATACAGATCACCTAACTCTCTTGTTCTTCTACCTGTACATGACTCAACTGCCACTATAATCACACACTCTCCTAGACTAATGAAAAGTAATTCTATTGTTCAACCTCCTCCAACTAAAGTATCCCTAAAAACAAACTCTTCTGAAAATGAAGAATTTCTTTATCCTTCTTCAGTACCACTAACAACACAAGAAGTCCTAACCCAAACACCAAATTTAAATGATAGTTCATTAGCAGAACTAAAATTAGTACATGGTAATATCCCAAAGAGTGTTTCATCAACGAAAATTCATACTTTTAATATCAAAGAAAAAGAAGATAATCAACAAGAATTATTGGACTCAGTTGTAACACCACAACTACCACAAATAGTTCAAGAAAAGGTATTGACGAGTATAAAAGAAATAAACAAAAAAGATGAAAGTGTGAAAGTGGAAGTGGAAGAAATCAATT